ATAAAAGTTAAAAAATCAAAACCATAAAAATAGCACTGTACTCATTCTGAGATAATTTTGACACTGTGTAAGTGAAACATGGTATTTGCTCAGACCTCAGAAATGTAGTACTTCCTATCCAGGCATAGTAGAGGATTCATTAAACATGCCCGAGAACTCATTGGCTAGTAAGGAGAATGTATGAAGCTATTGAGACCCCATATTTACAGACGTGCGCTCATGAGGCTATGAATGTACACATTTATACCAAATCATATAAAATCCTCCAGGGTACAGTGCATATGTGTTCATCCCGATGCCCGGAATTCTGTGCACAGAGGTGCTCTGTTCTCCACAGAGCCTGTCACTCACTCACTGTCTGGGTGTGGGCCAGCTGCTGGACTTAGAACGCTGGTGTCAGAGGACAAAACTATCCATTTGCAAGATGCTTGGAGGGTCTCAGAGAATGTTCATCTGCCTAAAATGACCATACTGACGTGGAATGTGAAAAACAGCATTTGTTAATATTCCAGGTAATTCCGAGGATTGTGTGCATGGGCAGACATGAGCACTGGCCCCACATAGATATGCAAATGGAAAATGGAGCCTGGCTGCTTATACGCAAGGCATTTCAATGACCTCGGATGGGGCCGAGTGTTTATCCGCTGAGAATAAACGTGTGCCTAGAGATGCCATCAGAATAATCACCATATACATTTTCAACAATCTCAGTGAATAATAAATTGATCCAAGCACTTCCTCAAAGTGTTCCAGCTATAAATTAGTTCTAAACTCAGCTGCTCTGAGCTCATTTGTAAAAGTTTGTTTTAAATTAGCATTTCCTCCCATTTGCAATAAATGTTACATGTAAACAAAAAATGGGACACTTCTATTTTCAGGGGATTCTGTCTAGCCCATAAATATTCACTCCAAGATAAACATGTGAAAAAAATAAAATAAAGTCCATTCCAGATTGAATTGCTTATTTCTTTCATATTCTGGAAAAAAAAAATGGGTCTGTGTAAAAATAAGAAAGTATTAAACATTCATAAGGTTTAAGCATTCTGTTATCAATTTTGCTTTTCACAATACTAAAATAGATATAAAATTGCCTTCATGAGCTGCACAAATAGCAAATGAGAAATAAAAGAAACATTCTAGGCAAAAGAGATTTAAAAATACTGAACGCCTCGCCATAACATGCCATGTTCACACTCATAATCCTGCATTTATTCATTGCATTTACTTTTCTAGGAAGTCTGATTGTAATGATGCGTTCCCAAAGCTAAGCATCTGAACATTAGCCCATCTATGCAAGCATCCTTGGGATGACTAACTCATTTAGTCACTGGGTTTACAAAGAGGCCTCACAAGACTGCACCTAACCTCTTGTAAAGCTGGGCTAGCCTTGCAGCCGGAGCACCACCAATGACATCATTACTAGAGAGAAATGCACCCCAAACTGCTCAGGAAGTAATTTACCCTCATATTTCTTTCCATTTTGTTGTTTTTGTTTGGTTAGTTGGTAGATTGGTTTTGAGTTGCTGAAGAGCATGCATGCTCACCAGAGAGGAGAGAGACAGATCAATAAACAGAAGTGAGAAAGCACCTCCCAGGGGGCTGGCCACACTGCAATCCCTTCTTCCATTTTCCTCTTGGATTTTTGTGCCTGTGTGTGCACGTCTGGTGTGTTTTTCAAATTACCGGGTGTAGGACTCAAACCATGCATTAGCCATGGGAGATCCAGCTGCCTTTATCACCACACCATTGGCTGGCCCTTTTCTTTCCAGTCTGTATACAACAGGAAGAGAACACGTGGCTGGGAATACTCCAAAACTTCAGAGTCTTGAGATAGTCTGACTCTCGGTTTGCTTTTTATTTTTATTTTTAACTGTGTCTTGTTTTTCCAGTTTTAAAATAAAAAGAAATATGTGCCTTTTACAAAATTAGCAGCATGAGGGACCAGCAGATAGTGTTGTGTAATGGTTTCATCACTAGACTCCCATGCAGTCAACTGCAGTTTGAATCCCAGACCCAGTGGCTTAAATTCACACTGAGGGTGTGTGCATGTGTGCCCAAAATCCTGAGAGGAGAATGGAGGAGAAGCAATTGCAGGATGACCATCCCCCCAGGGGTGTCTCTCTCTGTCTCTCTCTGTCTCTCCACTGAGCACATGCACCCTATAGCAAAAATCTCTCAAGAAAAAGAAGAAAGAAAAAAGTAGCACTGCAGAATGTATAGTATTATGTAACTTGCTTTTCTTGAAAGATACAATAAGTAACTTTGGACCTGTTCCTTCTCTTGTACATACACCTCAGGAATGGAATTTTTAGATCAAAGTGTATTTATATACAGAATTTCACCAACATGCAGGCAATTTATGTACCAACTTACTCACACATAACTGTAAAATAAGCATCTGTTTTCCTACAACATTACCGAAAATGGCTTTTATAATCTCTTTAAGAATTTGAAAAGAGAGAAAAATAGTTAACATTATTTTTTAAATTAACAAGTTATTCAACCACAAATGGATTTTAGTTATTAGAGCAATAATAACTAGATTAGTTATTTAGTTATGAATATCTAAATTAGTTCATGATATATAAAAATATTTTATATCTTTGACCACCTTTTAATATGTTTGGCCACCTTTATCAATTTTATACATTTAAATGTTCTTTCTTTTTCTTCTAGGCTGTTGAATTTTTTTTTTCTTTGTAATAATTTTGCCCATCCCGATAGTAGTTCTTGGAAGCTTGGACCATCTATACCATACCTAGGTTGTTGTTGTCTTTGACTTATTCTTCTTCTGTTGTATAGGAGTTACTTTTCTTTTCTTTTCCTTTTTTTTTTTTTTTTAGTTTGCTATAAGGCACATGTGCCCACTGGAGAGAGATAGAGAAAGTGAGAAATCATCCCCCAGAGGGGACAGTCATGCCACAATTCCCTATCCTCCATCTCCTTCTCCCCATGTTGGGATCTCTGTACCCACACACACACCCACTGTGCAGTCAGCCAGATGAGATCCAGCCACCTCAACCAACATGCTACCCGCGGACTCTACAAGTTGTTTGTGTGTGTGTGTGTGTGTGTGTGTGAAGTGTAATTTATGGCATCTGGGCTTCCTGGTATTTTTGAAAAACCAACTTCATCAATCTGGAATTGCAAAAGCAATTACTTCCATATTTTCTTCAAGCATTTTTAGGGTATAATTATCTATAACTGAAACTGATCCATGTAGAATCCCCTCCACATGACTTTTCAATTGTTCTAATACTATTTATAAAATTTTCTTTTTAATTTGAAATTCGGCTTTTATTTTACTTATTACTACAATGTACTTCCAGAAAATTCTGCCCATTAATTAATCTACAATAAATTCTGCTTCAGTAGCACAGCATTTTAACCCATATTTTTGTAATATGGTTTTAATGTGTGTAACACGAGTCCTTCCTTTCTTATCTTCTGTGTCGACTCCCCTATTTTTATTCTTTTGTTTTTTTCTTCCAGATAAATTTTTCTTTTCATTTCTTTTTTCTTTTCTTTTTTTTTTTTTTTAGAAGTTTTTGCTTTAGGGTGCGTAAGCTTGTAAGAAAGAGAATGTACTTCCAGAAAATTCTGCCCATTAATTAATCTACAATAAATTCTGCTTCAGTAGCACAGCATTTTAACCCATATTTTTGTAATATGGTTTTAATGTGTGTAACACGAGTCCTTCCTTTCTTATCTTCTGTGTCGACTCCCCTATTTTTATTCTTTTGTTTTTTTCTTCCAGATAAATTTTTCTTTTCATTTCTTTTTTTCTTTTCTTTTTTTTTTTTTTAGAGGTTTTTGCTATAGGATGTGAGTTTGTCAGAAAGACAGAGAGACAGAAAGCAAGATGGCCATGCTACAATCTCTTGTCCTCCATTCTTCTCTCAGGATCTTGGGCACACATGCACACGCACCTGGCATGAGTTTAACCCACCAGGTCCAGGACCCAAACCACAATTAACTACATGAGAGTCCAGCAACATAGCCATTATGCCAACTGCTGGTCTCTTTTCAGATACATTTTTTATTCATCTTGTAAGATTTCAAAAACTATCTTGTTGGGGTTTTAATCGAGGTCATATTTAATTTATAAAATGATTCAGGGAGAAATGACAATTATATAAGATTTACTGTTCATGTATATCTTTCTGTTTTATTCAAAGTTTTTAAATGCCCCTCAGAAGAATTTCAGACATTTTTCTTACAGAAAGAGTACATTTTTTATTAAATTTAGTTCCTGGTACTTTATGGTTTTGTTGCTGCTGTGACTTAGTTGGACTGTGACTGAGAAATTTTTACCAAATAATTCACTAACTAATTATTTTTGTGAGAAAATTTAATTTTTGTATAATTATTTTGTATCTAGTCACATTGCTTATTGAAATTGCTTATTGCTAATAGTTTAACATTAATTCCTCTAGATTCTTCTGTATGTGTAATTATATTTCCTGCAACTAATGATCATTTTGTCATCTTCTCTTGTGTGGAAAGACATTTGCAACTCAAAGAATACCTTATTGAATTTATGTAATTGGTGTGCTGGCCCTGCCCTGGCTCTTAGTTATCAGAAGAGCTAATTGTCACATTGTCGGGATTATTGTAAACTAGCTGACAAATATCAAGTTGGCAGCTTGAATTAATGATGGGTGGGAATATTCACACCATGCAAATCAGTAAGAACTACAAACCAGTGTTCCTACTGCCTCCCCTACTCTGCACCAGGACCCCCAAGTGGTTGTTAATCATTTACAGCACACCACTGAATTTACTCCATATTTACTGCATGCTAGATTTTTATTTATTTATTTTAATTGCCAGAGAAAGGGACAGTTAAACAGAGAAAGAGAAAGAAAGAGGGAGAAAGCATTCCCCAATGGGGCATGGTAACATCACAACCCCTTCTCCTCCATTTCTCCATTCTGTCAGGATTTGGGCCATGCATGCACGTGTGATCAGTATGTTTTTCAAGTTGCCAAGGCCAGGATTTGAACCACAATCAGCTGTGTGGGATCCAGTTTCTTCAACCACTAAGACAGAGGGGTGGCCCCTTCCTAAATTAAAAAAACAAACAAACAAACTAAAAATCTTATTTTAAAATTTTCCAGAGTTAAATACACATGTCATAATTAAAACTCAATTCAATAAGTAACAATCTTATCAAGAAACCTCCTTACTTTCAAGAGCATGAGAGAGATTGTTGCACAATAGGAAAAAAAAAAAAAAAAAAACCAAAACAAAAACAAAAACCTTTGGCTTTGGATATGAACACAATCTAAGTTTAATAAATCTTAACTGTAGAGAAATGCAAATCAATACCACAGTGATATGCTATGTTGCAGTCACTAGGACACCTAAAATAATGCTGACAAAAATGAAATAGGGACCGTTATATCTTGCTAATCAGTTGTAAAATGATACAGCAAGTTTGGAAAACAGTTTGGCAGTTTCTCAACTTGTTCAAAATACTATTCACATGTAATTTAGCAATTATTCTTCTAGAAATATACCCATAAGAATTGAAAACATATGTCCCTACAAAAACTTGTACACCAATGTTCATAGCAGTATTCATAATAGCCAAAAAGTAGAGATAACCCAAATGTTCATCAACTGATGATGAATGAACAAAATACACAAACGTTTGTAGCACCATTATTGAAGTACTGATACAGGCTACAACATGGATGACCCTTGAAAACATTCTACTGAGAAGCCAGACACAGAAGCTGCATGTTGTGTTAAAGTTACCAGGGCTTGGTGGAGGGGAGGTGGAATGAGAGGTGAAAAGTAATGTGCACACGGTTTCCTTTGTGAATGCTGAAAATGTTCTGAAATTACAAAGTGGCAATTCACATTCTGTGACTATACTAAAACCCACTGAATATTACATCTGAGAAAGATAATTTTTTAAATGATAGAACAGAAATAAATAGAAATTTATTTTCTAGTATTCTTTAATTTAGATCTCCCAACCCCACTCTAAATGATAGAACATAAATAAATAGAAATTTTATTTTCTACTATTCTTTAATTTAGATCTCCCAACCCCACTCTAATCCCTGATGAGTGAACACACGTCCCACCATTAGTCCCAAATGCCTACTGTCCCACCGGGCAATTACAGCACACCACGCCATTAGTCCCACTGGTTCAGAGGTCAGAGTGACCTGTGATTCTCTGGTCTTTATCTTATCCTGGTTCCACCTTTCAGAGCCTAAACCCATGCTTTTGGCTACCTGAGACTTTTTTGTTTTAAGAGAGATTTTTGCTATAAGGCACATGTGCTTACTGGAGAGACACAGAGAGGCAGAAAGACAGAAAGGAAGAAATTACACACACACACACACCCAGGGGATGGCCATACCACAATCCTTTTCCCTCCATTCTCCTCTTAGGATCTTGAGCGCGCATGTGCGCACACACACACACATGCACCTATGGTGAGTTTAAGTCTCCAGGTCCAAGACTTGAACCATGGTCAACTACATGGGAGTCCAGAGACATAACCACTATGTCCTCTGCTGGTCCCCAGCCACCTGAGTCTTTTAAACAGCACCAGCACTTCTAGATGATTGGACCTTCAATGTCTCCCCCACCACCACCAGAAAGGATGTTTTCTCTACATTCTAAATCTGTTATTTAAATTACTTTTCCAGAAAAAGTGAGAGAGAGAAAAGAAATAGCAGTATAAGGCCACCCTAGGAATGTTCTTAACCTCTCTATTCAGCTTTTGACTGACATATGAAACTGCAGATTGTAATTATAACCTTCCCCTCATGTGTGAGGTTCCACCCAGCAGCTCTGGGACTTCATCTCCTGTGTTCAGAAAGGGTCAGGCTAGTGATGTAACTTCAGCTCTCTGCAAATGAGTCCTTGTCCACAGCCGCAGACAGACTTGTAGTACTCAGCACCAGTCCTTGGGTCCTTCCCCTCTCCCAAGTTTCAGAAGCAGCTCCACTCAAAGGGAGCAGGCTGTCCTGTTTGAGGATGGCTATAGTGCTTTCCTGGCCACAGCCTGGGTGAGTGAGGCCTAGCTTTCCAGGTATAGATACATCAACCACAGCAGAGCCAGCGTGATACTCAGGGCTCTGGCCATCCCCTCCCGATCCCCATCAACAACCAGAGAGAACTGAGGCCAGAGGTCTCGGAACTTCTCGAAAAGAACTGGCCTGGGAGTTGAGGTTGGCACTCCAAAAATCTGGACCAAGCCCTGAACAAAGTCATAGTCAGGAGTCCAGATCTCCACAAGGGGATAAAGAGACTCAGATCCTGGTTGAGCTTCTCAAAGCATTCCATCCCCCGGGCCACTGGTTCTGGCCACAGGTCTCCCAGAAGCCCCTGGGGTACTCTCCTTCATCAGCATCCCAGCATCCATGCCAGGTCTGGAACACCGTAAGTGCTCGGTACATATTTCCAGTTCTGGGTTCTTGCTGAGCCTGAACTAATCCTTCCCACTCTCGGAGGGTAAATTTTAAGATATATAAAGTATATAGATAAAGTTGTTATTAAAATATATGGAGGTCTTCAAACAATCAGTGAAAATGTGTATAGATGAATTTTAAAATGTTTTTGCACCAAAAGAAGCACATACCTTGGTCCCATTTTTCCCATGAACTTCTGAAGGCATATATAATATATGTATATATAAACACAAACAGATTGTGTGACAGGTTATTTAATCTCTGAGTATCGTTTCTTATCTCACAGAATCCTATAAGGATTCACCAACATATATGTTTAATAAATAGTTACTATTTTAAGTAATATACATACATATATCACTTAACGCAATGCCTGGAACAGAGCAGGCCCTCTGATTAGAATAGTTATTTCCTTAAATTATTTATGCTATAGCAAACCTCCCTTTTCATGTCTTTTCTAGTCTATAATAATTGCTGGTCATTTTTCTCCATATCGTTTGTTCACTTTATACTTAATAATCATAATTACTAAGCCATCCCTCAGTTTACCTCTCCTCGTGATAAATAAGCCCAGCTTTACAACACTTGCCTGTTAATCTTACATTCCTCTGCTTGATTTGATTAGTGTGTGTCTTCCACTAAACCCTTTCCAAAGGGCAGGACCCAAGCCTGTTTCTGTTCAACCCTGAGTCACCTGCACTAACCTGGAGCCAGACCCACAGAACTCAAAAAACAGTTGCTTAATGAATGAATAAATGAAAGAAAGAGAATGACAGAGGGAGGGAGGGAAGAAGGATGAGCAGGAGAGTAAGAAAAGCAGGAAGGAGGCAGATAAATATTATATCTGGGGCCAGCAGGTGGCATGGTGGCTAAGGACGCTGGACTCCCACATGACTGACCATGGTTCAAGTCCCGGGCCTGGCGGCTTCCTGGATCACTTTATCTCTCTCTCTCTGTCCCTCTCTGATCAAATTAAAAATAACTGAACAATTAAATAAAGTTAAATAAAATAATATTTTTTAAAAATATAATATCTGACCAGTGGGGGGGCCTACCTGTAAAAGGCGGTTCTCAGTGAGGGATGCGGTGTGGAGAGAAGGCAAGCTGTCATACAGGATACAAGTCGTCATGTGTGAATCACCTGGGGTAATTTTTTTAAAGTTATCTGACAGCTTCTCCCCAGGGCATACCATATCAGAGCTCACAAGGTACTACTTCAGTGACAAGATGGCCGACTTCATCCAAAATGCTCCTCATCATACAACCTGTCACTGGTGATAGAAATTTCTTCCCTAGGATACTGAAACTTTCCTTCATAACCAGAAATCAAGGTTAAGGTACAAAACAGTCAACCACAGACACCTCACTGACTGGACCAGGAGTATGAATGAAGCTGCACTTTAGACTCACGTTGACTTTGGCTATGGGTATATGACAAGGAAAGACCAGGGATAAGCACACAGAGCACAAGCAGGGGTCGAGCACAAGAGGAGAAGGTCCCCACGGTGTCTTCTTCATGGGCCAGCCACAGCGAAGCAGGCGTAGAGTGCCACTCAGCCGTGCGGATCCACATGCATGATCATGGTTCACCCTGGCTGACCCACAGGTGCCAGATGTGCTTATGTGCATGTCCATTTTCTTGGCTGACTGAGAAGGCTGGAGAGAAGATGATGGTGTAATATCTAGGGTGTCTCTCTCTTGCTCACTATCTCTCGTTAAAAAAATAATCTTGAATAAAAGACTGTTTTTTTCCCCCTAGTTTTGCCAGCATGGTGCTTATCCTGTCTTGGGCCCATCTGCTTTCTGCTCTCAAGATGAAAAACTTATAAACCATACTGTCCAGGTACAGAGAGTGCCTTGGCAATCAGATTCTGACCACTGGCCTGCTTTGTGATATTTTTCATGTACAAATCAAGAGGATAGTTTATTGTCTAATAGGTTCTGCCTTCATTCTTATTTCCCAACGTGTGTTAGTTTTGTGTGGGGGGTATAGTTATATGTGTGTGTGTGTGTGTGTGTGTGTGTGTGCATGCGTGAGAGAGAGGGAGAGAGTACATATATTTGCCAGAGAGAAACAGATAGGCAGAGAGAGAAAGCATACCCCAGTGGGGTATGGTCATGCCACAATCTCTTCTCCATTTCTCCATCACATCAGAATTGGGCATACCTGCTCATACATGCACTCAGAATGTTCCTCAAGGACTTAAATTGCAGTTGACCATGTAGGATCCAGCTCCTTTAGCCACCAGGCCACAGGGTCAGCTCATGTTGGTTTTGGTTATTATAGTTTTTTGTTTTGTTTTGTTTATCTTTTTTTAGAGGTTTTTGCTATAGGGCGCGTGCGCTCGCCAGACAGACAGAGAGAGACAGAGAGATAGAAAGCAAGAAATCACCCCCTGGGGGGATGGCCACGCTGCAATCCCTTCTCCTCCATTCTCCTCTCGGGATCTTGGGCATGCGTGCACACGCGCCCAGCATGAGTTTTAAGCCACCGGGTCCAGGACACAAACCACGGTCGACTACAGGGGAGTCCAGCGACATAACTGCTAGTCCCCATAGTTGTTTGTTTTTTTTTTTAAAGAACAGAATCCTAATTGCAAGTTCATGTTCACTATTTGACACATTCTGAT